TTTTATTTATATTAATAAAAAGATTTTGTATGTAGACGGGATAATCTTTCAGCTGCAGCTGCCAAACCAGATATAAACCAGGGATTCAGTAGGTGGGCAACTGAGGCCAACCGAAGTATGAAGTTATATAAATATTATGTAAATGAGTAACATGACATTGTGATTACATTGGTCAACCAAGGCAAACAGGGGGTTTATATACCTTGGTCAACACATGCTCACCAGAGTCGTCCAAAGTTTAAAAGATCAATCGCAAGTACTGATGTACTGATGGATGGAGGTGACGAGTCTTCTTGCAGATAACGGAAAGTGGCGAGGGGTGACGAATCCCTGCCCCCGTATACACGGCTCTTACAACACGTGGTTCTCGGTATATATATAGTTTTGCGATGATTTCGGTTGTATGTTCTGTTTAAATGTACTAATTAAATGCCTTAACAGGCAAATACATGTGGATCACGTATCAATCAATACTATTTACACGTTTCCCGTACCTGATAATTGATCCGGTGCTATTTTAATTTAATGTTCAAATTACACCTCAAATAGCAACAAAGTATCACGGATCTGGGAAAATAAATATTCATATTAATTATGACCATTAGGTACTTCAAATATAGGCATAAGAACGAATCGAAACATAGCCAAATAATGGTAACTGTCATATTCAGGAAACCTGGGTAGATTGTTACAATCTGGATCGAACATTTGCTATTCGTGTGTGTGTGTGCGCGTGTGTGCGTGCGTGTGTGCGTGCGTGCGTGCGTGCGTGCGTGCGTGTGTGCGTGCGTGCATGCGTGCGTGCGTGTCGGTATGGTCAGTCCCTTAATTGCTCGTTAACCTCTGACTTTCTTCTGGGTACAGGCAAATATATGTACCGACCAACATCCTCCCCCAATGCTTCCGGTGCGTTATTACCGCTGTGCAGAGTTTTATCACTTAGGCTTATCATAAAAACTAGTTCGAATCCCAGATTCGCTCAAATAATCCGAAATGATGTTGTATAAATTGATAGTTATACAACTACAAATATGATCTAACAGAGCATGTGATACAACTGCAAATATGATCTAACAGAGCATGTGATACAACTGCAAATATGATCTAACAGAGCATGTGATACAACTGCAAAAATGATCTAACAGAGTATGTGATACAACTACAAACATGATCTAACAGAGCATGTGATACAACTATAAACATGATCTAACAGAGCATGTGATACAACTACAAACATGATCTAACAGAGCATGTGATACAACTACAAACATGATCTAACAGAGTATGTGATACAACTACAAACATGATCTAACAGAGCATGTGATACAACTACAAACATGATCTAACAGAGCATGTGATACAACTACAAACATGATCTAACAGAGCATGTGATACGACTACAAATATGATCTAACAGAGCATGTGATACAACTACAAATATGATCAAATAGAGCATGTGATACAACTACAAACATGATCTTACAGAGCATGTGATACGACTACAAATATGATCTAACAGGGCATGTGATACGACTACAAACATGACCTAATAGAGCATGTGATACAACTACAAATATGATCTAATAGAGCATGTGATACAACTATAAATATGATACGACAAGACAGTTTATATCTATAATAATAGAGCAACAAACAGGCATGTACATTTGAAGGAAGAGTAAGAATGTTGCTTCTGTTGCTTCTGTGATTATGATTTTACGCCACGTTTAGCGATTTTCCAGTAATATCACAGCGGGGACACAACAAATGGTCTTCACACATTGTAACCATGTGGGGAATCGAAACCGGGTCTTCGGCGTGACGAGCGACGCTTTAACCAGCAGGCTACCCCACGTCCCTCAAGTGCGATGAGATAATATTATTTGGTGGTATAAAGTCATAAAAATGTGATAACTCCTAGCAACCCCTATCCTGTATATCCAAAGAAAAACCAGCAAATCAATTACAGAATACCGTTCGTGGCGTTGGAAAACAAACAAACATTTACTTTTTTATGCATAGTGTGTGAGTTGCTGCCGGTAGATCAGGACACGCTTACTTATTTTCAGTGATCCATTCATATTATTTTCGATACTATTTTGCCTTTTGCGCTCTGTTTCTAACGTTAGCCGTGAATGATTTTTCTCTACCGTTGACGTCTGATCATTGCAATGATCTCAATACCGATTGTTGGAAACAAAGCCTCCATCGTCGGACGGAGCAACGGTTATTTCTACTGAAGAAGTAATTGATCTATCCTTTCATGTCCGAGTGCTGTTGAAGTAGGGAGTCAATATCATATATATAGTACACCTCGTGGACATCAGTGTGTCTCTTCCCGTGGCTCTATTCTCTTCACAGCCGCGTTCATTACTGCGCATGCGTTTCGCATTTGGCTTGGCTATCTTCTTCTCTGCATGATACCTTAGACCCAAGGTCATTCACTCTATCACTTTGAGCCAGTCATCTTTTGTCAGTTTAATTTGTTAATTATTGTGAGCCAACTGTCACATTTTGTACTGACGGTTGAACTCAAGGCGAACCTTGACCGAATACATAACAAGTGTTCGGTGACGAATTTCGTGAAACAGACAACATAAATTATGTTCTCAGCTACAGCCTACTGTCGTTGTTAAGATCGATTTGGAAATAAAACAAGGATGAACTTTGTATGGTGTTCGATGTCGACAGGTTAGCGGAGAGTTTGATTGACTGTTCAGATGATACCGACTTGCATACTGAAGTTCACCAGAAGTAAAGTTTGAACCGTGAGTGTCCTTGAGGTGTTAAGATTGGGAACGATGAACATTATTTTATCCGGAACAATTAAAACGTTTTTGTTCGGATAATGGACTCTGCTTTTTGACAGGTATCACCGGTGTTGCAGGATACGCTTACCTTTTCGCGAACGTCGGGTGTCGTCACTATTTGATAGTGATTCATAAACACATGCTTTTGCTTATCAACTCTCAGTTTAACACTTAGATTTTAACACTGAAATGTTGAGTATAGGCTGATAGAGTTGAGAAGGAGATGGGAATGGTATATCGTGAATATGTTATTAAATAAATGGTCTGTGTTCCGTAAGAAACTAAGTCCTCATTATGTCAACATATTTGAGATATCCTTATCATCAGTGTTTGGAGAAAGATAACATATGTATCAAATTCCACAATTCATTTCAACCTCAGACGTGAAACTCAAAGTACAGTTTTGTAGAAATTTTGATAACACTTACCGATAATAAGTAGAGTGAGGGAGTGTGTTTGTTCGCCGTTTTTAGCAATATTCCAGCAATATCACGGCGGGGGACACCAGAAATGGGCCTCACACATTGTACCCATGTCGGGAATCGAACCACTTGGCTACCGGACCGCCCCGATAATAAGTAGAACCAGTGCATCATACATACACATGGAATTGCTGTTGAGGGGAAACCTTTCTGGGAAGAAAGATAATATATCATCCATATTCCGCGGTTAACTTAGACATTAAATGACGCCTTGAATGACTTGATGATTCGTAGAAATACATATGTATAGACAACAGTGTTCAACTAGCTAGTCGGGCCTGCTTTACGGAAATGTTACCAGCCAAATTAAAAGTCACCGGCATGCGGCAAGCGGGCAGACAGCGGGATACCGCAGTTGTTTTTCCTTTCAGTCGATATCCACCATGTTTGACCTGTAACAAAACGTTTATCGGGCAAATTGGGGAGTCGAAAAGGTCCCATTAGCCTATGGTTGTCGTAAGGGTTGATTGGTTGGTCATGGCGAGGGAATGGAACATTGCAAGTCATCGCACCCCGAAGGCGAAGGGCGTTGCTCATGATATTAACCACGGGGTTTGTCTGGCCCACTCTCGATTATTAACAGGCAAGCAATAAAGCTGAAATATTGATTGCGACGTTAAAAAACAATTCTATCATTGGTTTTTTCAAATATTAGATTATGATTGGTCAATCAGTGGTTTCAAATCACAATAGAGCCGTATCACCGTACACATGTCATACATTTTGTAATGGATTGGTCCTTGAGGAAAGACATTGGATTGGCCCTCTATAGACATCCGACAAATATTTGTGAATGAAATAATCCTATTGTATGGACAATGAATGTTTAAAATGAAAAATAGACGAGAGGTGAAGCAATTCATCCTTCCCTTGTCCTTTTTCTGAAACAACAACAAAATCATCCGAATTATTGACAATGATTACAAAATACCGATTTCTCAAGACTATTCAATAATAGAACGATGTATTTACTCTTGTTTATATCAAAGGAGGTGTGTTGTTTTATGACGCAAACACTGATTGAAAAATAGCTATTAATTCAATAATGTGTTCGTTCTTTTCCTTCTTTTTATCAGACGCCTTATTTCAGAGAGAGGAATAATGCATATGAATGAATTATAGCTTCAGTCGTTAGAATTATTGTTAAATATACAGACGATCAAAGTTTTCATGTTTCAGACTTAAAAATATTTGGACTATTAAACTGCCAACTGGAAGAGAAATAAATCTTACGTCCATGTCACAGTTTCTACACGGGATAATGTCTTGTCTATGTTTAACACAATCGGCTGGAGGGCAAAACGGTTATAGCCGGGAGAGTTGACCTGTCATGTGACAAAGTATCCCCTATGACGTCATCGTTGCACTCGTCACCTCGCGGCTCGTGACATGAATCATCACTCCATCCATCGCTTTGACAAAAGGCACCTGTTGAAATGTCAATAGCTGGTATTGTAGTCTTGTTTAATGACATCGGGAGAGTACATTTCGTGAATAGGGAGGCTGGGTTTTGAAATTCACATTTGATGTCAATTTGACACATACCCTTTACCAATAACAATCTACATACCAGAAATAAAATGAAACATTAATTTCTTCACATAACACAATTATTAAAGGTTACATTAAGCAACAGTGTTTTTTCATGTTGTAAAATTTACCCCTTTAAACAGAATGGGTTCTTCCTCAATCTTTGGCTCTAAAAAGGAGCAGACGACAATCCGAGCAGACGACAGGCGACAGTCAAAGAAGAATATGGTGGCCTCCCTGACCCTCGCGTTTTGTCTCTCAGCTGTGACGTGTGTTTTCGCCTTCCCAAATGGTGCACCGGCAGAATTGTGCGGAAGTCCACTCGGACGCCCCATGCACAACGAGACGCTACCACAGAGTACATGTAGCCCGTTTCAAATAGTTGTGAACGCAACGGAATACGGACCAGAGCAGCCAATCAACAGTAAGTCACTGTATCTTTGCCTTCCAAAAGTTTGTTTCTTTGTTTGTTGTTTAACGCCGTACTCAGCAATATTCCAGCTATATGACGGCGGTCTGTAAATAATCGAGTCTGGACCAGACAAACCAGTGACTGACATCATGAGCATCGATCCACGCAATTGGGATCGATGACATGCATCATCCCATCAAATATGGTCTGTACAACCAAGTATGTATCAGGAAAAAGCTTCAAGAGTTCCATGGGACAACGCGCGATAACCGCGAACACAATAAACATAAATACATATTTAGTGCTCGCACCACTTTTTCACACGATAAATTAAATTGTCATGAAAAGCTCTCTCACTAGTTTTGGTGCCAATAAAGGGTACGTAACCATAAAAGCTGAAACGAAATTTACATTCCTCAGTAAACAATCTTGTTCCCATTCATCAGTAAACAATGTCATTCACATTCCTCAGTAAACAGTGATATTCCCATTTATCAGTAAACAGCATAATCCACATTCCTCAGTGAATAATGTAATACACATTATCCAGGAACAATGTTATTCACATTATCCAGTAAACAATGTTATTCACATTATCCAGTAAACAATGTTTTTCACATTATCCAGTAAACAATGTTATTCCCATTTATTACCAAACAGCGTTATTCCCATCCAACAGTAAACAGTGCGTTATCCACATTATTCAGTAAACAGTTATTCACATTACCCAGTAAATAGTATCACCCACATAACACAGTAAACAGCGTTTAGCTCCGTGGGGATTCCGGGTTAGGAAAGGTCCCCAGCACCCCAGTGAGAGGGTACGTCATGGATCGGGTGGTAAGGACAGCGTGTCATCGTACCCCGACGGTGTGGGTCGTTGCCCGCAGTTTTAACCTCTGGATCGTCTGGTCATATAACAGATATTGCCGATGCAGATACAGACATGACACAGTGTGTCGGTTATTGGAGTCTCAGCAAGCGCGTTACAGGACGCAATATTCATGGTAATAAGTGTCATGTAACCTTGGTAACATGCAGTGTTGTGAACTATGTTTAAAAATACGTAACACCCGGCGGCGGGTGCATAAAGTACAACCGTGACAGTTGGAGATTACTTTGTCTTGTGTCAACGGAAGATCTGACAGTATTCGTGTCCTCCGTTCTTTTATTCTAACATTCTTTACATGTTTGTTCTTGATTTTATAGATATACAAATGTCATAAACCACAATATACGTTCGATTAATACACATTATATGATCGTGTAAATCTGGACAGTTTTTAAATGTTTCTGAATGTAAACGTCACACATGTTTGTGCTAGTCCGGACAAATTTCGATTTTATGGTGCTAGCCCACTGAGATTCCATGCCGCAGTTTAACATGAATACCCCACCCAGACACAGTATACGGACTCCGACCAAGCGAGTTCTTGTTTTTGCCCCTTAATGCCGAGCGCCTTGCAGAGTAGCAATGAGTACAATGTACATGTATTTACGTCTTTTGGTATGACGTGGGATCTTACCACTGACCTTTTGCTCTCTGAGCAGACGCGCTTTATCCACTACACCACGATGGCGTTCGTCAGGCAGCATAAACAATGGGTTTGTTATTACATTTTATAAGTAATTCATTCTTTATTAAACATTGCAAAAAAATAACCCTTCCCGACAAGGAGTTAAACAACCAGCTTATGGTCTGGTTAAAACAGGTAACTGAATTATAAATTCGGATAAAACATATAATACCACTCTGAAAACACCAGATTCAATTGAACATAATTAAATGATGTGATAGATGTTTAAAAGCAGGTAAAAACCTATTAATGACTCAATCTCAAAATAATTCATTTTCGCAACCATCTACCTTCTACATTGACAAATATATTCAATTATAAAGAAGAGCGCCAATGACTGTCATGATGTTATTAATGGTTCGTGCCACGTAAACTCATCCTGCGTTTAGAGATTGATGGCTTCATGTGTTTTGACAACTCGTATTTATAAAGGTAGAACGTGAGAGTTTGTTTGCTCTGCATAAAATACCGTTATAAACCTGTCCACGTCATACTCAGATTTACATGTAGTTTATTTTCGGATGATGTTGTATTTGAGCCATCTTCCCGAGGCAAGGGGGTTAACTGACTTCAAAAGACCAGTTCCCACCCTTTCCGAACTAGGCTGGAGTTCCTGGGCACGATTGAAGCCCCACCAGTGGCTGTTACGAGCTGTGTCCCTTCTAAGCCTCTCCTTTAGTCCAATCAGATTCCACCTCTCGTATCACTTGCATTTGTTTCGAACAAAATGTTATACGTGCGTTTAGTTTTAAAAAAATTCGCTTTGTAGTTTTTGGATTAATTTTTGTACTTTTGGAGTATTTTCGTAAAATGTCATTATGTATTCGGGTTTTTTCTGTGTATTGCCGTATAGATAGGTCCGAACAAATTAATAGCTCGTTCGTATGACACTCTGACTCCCGCAAAGTTAATGTTCAATGCATGGAGTGGTTTATTTCTCAACTGTACATGTAACAACCTTTCTGTCCAATCTTTTGGTTTATGTCAAATAAGCAGTTTTGACGTAACCCTTTTGGTCAAAGACAAATCACATGAGCGCGGACACAAGGACAGATAACTCTTGTATTAAAACATTCGGACAAAAATTTGTTTAAACTGAACAAACACCGATTGAGGTATTACTGGGGTTCACATTGTATCAAAGCTACCCCCAGGGGGATAAAACGTAGATGCTCTTTGTCTATATTCGTGTGTTCTCTCAGCTCAGACAGACGACTATCAACCCGTGATCAATACAAAAATACCTGCTCACTCCCGCTTGTGCACCATCCCATTTCAATAACAATGTTTTCCTGTCACAGAAACGGTAAACACACAGCCAAGCTCATGCATATTACACAATAATATTTTCCTGACATATTGTGACCAAAGTTAGTCTCGATTGACCTCTTTCTTTTAAAAGAACGTTCATGTTTCTGTAATAGCCCAGCTTATTATTTATTAACGGTTTTTTTATCATATGTACATGTTCGGTTCAAATATAGATATATCTTTATAAAAGACTGCAGATCGATTTGTGGTGATTGATTTTTTATATTACATCAATGCCTGGTGACAGCAGCGTATTTAATGAAAAACAACTAAAGGTTTTACCTTGACCAAAATAACCAGATATCCATGACCCCCATTTACTTGTTCAAGGACCCCTTCAGGAAAATTAATGAAATGGTGTTTAATGAACAGTACTGTAATATTTAATAAATATTTAATAATTACTTTAATTAATTGAACTTTATATTTCTTATCAAGAATTTGGTTTAATGAATAATATTGTGCGTCCCGAGGGACACACAGTATATATTTTTTCTGCATCCATCATTAACATTTGTGCGTGCTGGGCGCATATTTATGGACGCATATTTCACGCTGACACGCCGTGATATAACTGAAATACTTTTTAAAGCGGCGTTAAACCCAACTCACTCACGAACTCACGAACTCACGAGGAGGTTAGACAAAATATTGATGCCATATCCGAGGTGCAAAAGAAGCTTTGTTACCAGGCTTTCATCATCTGTTGTTTTGGTTTGAAAAATGACAGTTATGACCCCAGATGTGTTTGATTGCTTTTTGTTACTTCATCCGAAATGCCATGAAATTCTCTTTTGCTCTGTTGTACCATAAATTATTGAACGTATGAAAATACATTTTAAATAAAATGTGCACATTTTATCGTTTTCCTTTAAGGAACAATCCAAGTCGGTGAAAATTTTCAGTGGTTTACCTCTGTTTCAGTCACCATCCACGGCAACGGCCTCCCCTTCCGAGGCTTCCTGGTCACAGCCGACACGACGACGGGGATGTTTGACGGTACCTGCCTCAACACCTCAGCCGACGCCAAGGCCGTCCCCAACTGCGGCATGACTCACTCCAGCAGTGTCGACAAGACGTCGGTGACACTGTTGTGGTACCCTCCTACCATCGTGCACGTCGGAAGCATCCAGTTCAAGTAAGTACAACTACATCTGCAAGTCCTCAGTCACCGGGGAAGGTGGGGCAGCCCAGTGGTCATATTAAAGCGTTGGCTGAACACGTCGAAGACCTAGGTTCCATTTCCCACGTGGTATCTCCCATCGTGGTTTGGATTCAACATAGCTTAAAGCGTAGTTAAACTACATGTATACCCAATCACTTAAAGGATTCGTTTCATATTTACAGAGATGTGTATCATACACCATTTAATTGAGGGTTCCGACGATCTTCATATTGAATTCCTACTTCAATATTCAGTGAGAGAACGGGGAAGGGCTGGGTCGGAGAGACTAAATCAACAGTGATAATTAATATAGGTGTCATTAATCTTGTTAGATGTCCACCGCATTGCCTCTATCGTGACCATCAAATACGTCAAGTGACAGCAGCGTCTAGCCGAACAGCGTGGTTTACTTAAAACGTGACACAAGAAAACGTTTTTTATAGAAAATAGATGAAAGAATTCAGATACGTTCATTGGAAAGCCTCATTTGTTGCATTTAAGCACGCGATAAAATATGTCTTAAGAAGCGTTTGTGAAGTGCACAAGGGTGTTCTGTCATCGTTATATCAACTGTCTATATTGTCACGTTGGCAAGGACAGCTACATCAGCAAGTTTCATGATGAATTCCTTCGTTCCTCACTTCATATACCTGTCTGCGGTTGATCGTGATGGTACGAAGGCGTTATCCTCTGAAACAGATTTAATTAATTCTTAAAATAACCAAGACTGTTGACTTCTAGCCGTCAACAAATCCTTGTCATTACTGTATTTGTGTAGTGAGAATCTTATGACAGAATATTTCCATATTGCATTTGAGATCTAGTTTTCCCACTAGGGAAACAAGGTAGAATAGTATTTGGTTATCAACTTGAACTAATTTAACTGGAGGGTAGGACGGCCCTTGTGCAAATTCGGCGAGGATGGCTCGTAAGAGAATCACGTTATGTTTAGGGGGGTCCTGGCAACTATTTACAGTATTTAACTTTCAAAATATAACAATAAAAGCGAAAAAACTCTTTCAATATTTCAAAGAAATATCTGACAAAAGCATGGTCGACTGTACGATTCTGACTATATCTTGAGTATGTGTGAATGACCATCAACTTTTGATGACACCAAGGGTATTTAGCTCTCCTTTTCAAATATTCGGGTGCCAATTTCATCATGCTTGCTGACAAAATTTATATTGTTACGAGTGAAAATGTCAACCATTTCAGGTCACGAGATAAACATGCTATTTGATAATAATTAAAAAAAAATAATATTATGTATGTTTTTACTTATCTTACTCCGAAAAGCAATCATATCTTTCCTGCAGACTGGAAGTAGTTCTGGTATGGAATAACGTGTTATTTCAATCGAGTTAAATATCGATTTTAAACAGATAAATACAACATTTCATCATTAAATCCATAAAACATGCTGTTACCTTTAGCCGGGATACTTTGATAAGCGGCGTCCATTTTAGTGGGAAGTTATAATAACAAACTGGGAGGTAAATGTTTACGAAGACCTCCGGACAAATATGATTGTGAATTATATCTCTTGAAACAATAAACGTTGAGAATTTCAGACCATACGCGTAAATTTGGTAATTCGCTTATATTTATTCTTGTCAGCTTCAGAGTGAAAGCCCCAAGTCATAGAATTTTACAATTTTCTTAAAATCCACGAACAAAGGGTCCGGTGCTTACAAACTTTGAAATGTAATCAGGGCGAATGGGATTCGAACCCACGATCACAGATTTCTGTCACGCCTAAGGGCCGCAACTCTACACAGCAATTTGTGGCGCCATAGACGACTGGACCACTCTTTGCCCCTGCATTTAAGAAGTTGTTCTAACGGGACTATATGTTCGATGTTTCAGGCTGGTGGTCGTCAAGGAGTATTCGACATATTGGTCTGATGTACGTTCATCCGTGCTGACACCAAGTAAAACAGGATGTAAGTATTGTACACAAATATCTGCTGTGTTGACATTCCATGTGTTCGTGGAATATCTCTGTGTTTAAACAGTAGATTATTTGAAATGAAATGAAATGAAAACCTGGATTGATCAACGTGCACACAAAAGATAATTACATAATAAATGGTAAAGGTAAAGACTTAACATATACACAACGTAATCCAACGTAAGGCCCACTTGCACAAGATTACCTTAACGGTACTATTGTAAATTCCTACACTTGTACAAAGGTTTACATTCGTCTGGCGACCGCCGTGACCTCGCAAAGACACGCTTATCTGAATATTCTTGTGTGTAAAACCACTTTGAGCAGTATTTAAGTCACCGCACTCCGTATCAGTTTAACATGGGAGGCCAGCTAGAATAGATGCAGGTCTTTGGCGTTTACCACTGTGAACCCCACGAACATGGGTATGATGTTCACAAACCAAGGATGATAATATGGGCGAACCTGGGATTCGAACCCATGGTCATAGGGACATGGCTCGCATTTGGGACGCAACCTTGCCCAGCATGTTCCAGAATCTCTGGTGACGAGCTCTGAATGGGTAGCAGCGTAGGGTGGATTGGTGGCTACAGGGCCATTGGGTTGGATTCTCATAATATACATAATCATTACGTCATAATTATTTTCTATTTTCCTTACATCCATCTTTATTTTTTCAGATTACTCATTAACAGACATGTGGGAGCTTGGGTGGTTCAATCCCGGGTCCTCTCTTGGCGGTCACAATAATCACGCAGGATCAGGGCGAGTTCACATGCCTTCAGCAGGCAGACAGTTCGCTTGAGGCACACCAAAAACAAGAGAAACAAGCAATATTCCTCTAAACCTCGACCGTCAGCCCGACCTCACCCGACCGCGCCCTTTGTGTTGTACGATACATGTCTTTAATGAATTTGGAGAATCGTTTAACGTGTGTCTGTGATTTTATGTCATCCACACATGCAAGTCACTTGACACGCCACAATCAGAGTTTTTGTTTAGTCAAAGACTAACAGGTTACAATTTAATACAAAATATGTATGTTTTGACATGGACTTCAATTCAGACCATGGTTATTTCTAAATTTGTGCCTTGGGAGAGAGAGATGGAGAGCTGATACATGTCATCATCGACTTACGTGTTCACAGTCTTGCTGTAAGTCCAAGGCTATTAGCAGTCATCACAAACCACGTTTGGTAAAGACAACCCCCGGTCACAAGAAATTAGACCAGGGCCCACTTGCACAAGATAACCTTAAGGCTACTATTGTAAATCCTATACTTTTACACAGGTTTACATTAGTCTTAGCGCGAAGAACAGTTTGTGCATGTGAGTCCAGAGATTCAGATGAAACCGCTCGGACATCTACCAGACAATCTCTTTGCTTGAAGCTCGTTTAGGACGTCTCGCCCGATGCTGTCACAGGAACTCACTTTATATTTCTGACTGAATCTTGATGTTTCCGGCGCTTTACAACTTCTGTTTGCGATATGTGAATAAACTGTCTTTTGTATGAGTTCCTATTATGGACATGGATGTCAATTTCTTGTGCTGGCATGTACATTTACATACCCGCTCTAGATTTCCGAAATTGGTACAATGTGAAGGACTTTCTTTATGTAGCCGCCGTGATGTTGATGGAATACCTTTTGGAGTATTAATGATGAAACCTGTTTAAGTTTTGTTTGTTTCTTTGTTTGTTGTTTAACTTCACACTCAGCACTATTCCAGCTATATGACGGCGGTCTGTAAAAAATCGGGTCTGGACCAGACATTTCAGTGATATCATGATATCATGATATCATGAGCATCGATATACGCATTTGGGATACGATGACATGTATCAACCAAGTCAGCGAGCCTGACCACCTGATCACGTTAGTCGCCTCTTACGACAAGCATAGTCTCCTGTTACGGCAAGCATGGGTTGCTGAAGACGGGTGGAAAGACTCTCTCACGACCTCACTGAGGTGAAGATGCCATCTTTCTGTGCGTGCGTGCGTGCGTGCGTGCGTGCGTGCGTGTGATTGTGTCTAACATCGCCCTCCGCGATATTCCAGCTATTCGACGGTGGCCTGGATCAGACAATCCTGTGTCGTTGGGGTACGTTTACACGCCATCCACCAAGTCACTGAGCCTGACCACCCGACCTCTTACGTCCGGCATCGTATCCAGCATGCGTGGATCGATGCTAATAATATCAACCATTGATTCTCTGGTCCAGAATCGATTATTTACAGGCCGCCGTCATGTACCTTGAAAATCGCTGAGTGCGGCGTTAAACAACAAACAAACAATCCATTACGTTGGGATAGCAACAGATCACACATAGTAAGCATTTGGCTGATTATGAGTGAGTGAGTTAGGTTTAACGCCGCTTTGAACAGTATTTCGGTTATATCACGGGGTGTCAGCTTAATGTGGGAGGAAAACCCGGAGTGATGCAGGTCTCAGACGTTTACCACTTTGGTGAAACCCACGAGCAAGGGTATGGTGCTGACAAACCTAGAAACAATTGGGGAGACCCGGGATTCGAACCACAAACCATAGCGTTCTGGCGTGCCAAAGGGACGCAACTCTGGACAATGAATTTCGACGCGTTAGACGACTGGGCCACTGGGGTGATGAGATACATGTGTCACGGGTTGGAAGTTCAGCATTTAACGAGATGACTTACCTTGTACGTCACAGAAACACAACTGACGTCATAATGACGTCATGATATCCGCACAGGCTTGCCAGCTTACTTGTATGGGTTTTCACAAGACTGCGACTTACCAGTCAGATAATTTAGATTCTGTCACCAGTGATTGACAATGCCTTCGTCACTCATAATGTCCGCTCTGATATTTTAAGGAAGGGTGAAGTAGAACGAAACCAGTCGCGTTTTTAAAAGAATTCTTCGTGATGCGAACGATACCCGAGTGAGTGATTATTGTTTAACGCCGCAGATCGTCACTGTAGACGCTGGTCTGTCTCTACCAGATTCGACTACCCTCTAAGGCTGCCTTAAACTAGCTGTGATATGGTTATTTTGTGTTCATACCTACACAATTCGATACCGTTTTGAAAACCACAAAATATGATTATGGTTCATACGGCGAGAAAAAGCAAATTGAATTACTGCTATTTAATATAACTCTGTTAAGATTCTATGAATTTCATGAGGTAATCCGGTTCGCCCCAATTATGTTTCTAGGTTTGTCAGCACCATACCCGTGCTCGTGGGTTTCACCGAAGTGGTAAACGTCTGAGACCTGCATCACTTCGGACTTTCCTCCCACATTAAGATGACACGCCGCGATATAACTGGAATACTGTTAAAAGCGGCGTTAAACCAAACTCACTCACCCATGAGGTAATCTATACCACGTGACGAAACAATGCTACCATAATAGAACATTGACCCGAAAAGGCTTGGCCAAATCACATGACGCGAAGGTTGTCTCATTGCATGCAACCATTGACAGTCACATGCTCAGTATTGACCAGAAAACAGCATTATAAAAAGAAGCCTGTAAAAAATGTGAAGTTAAGTACTTTATAAATGAATTAAAAGAAAAAAATATTACTATGAGCGAGGTGATTATGTGAAATCGAGGACCCGAGATCATCCCCCATCCCCTACCAACCCCACCCCATCCCCTACCAAACCACTCCCAACTCCAACCCCATCCCCTGCCAAATCCCCCACACCCCCTCCACACCCCCACTCCAACCCACCCTGGATGCCTATTTGCATTCAATATACTGATGAGATGTATGGACGTCAAATGTCTGTTATCAATTTAAGAGCCCTATCCATCACATTTCCTAGTTTAAATATAACTACCGCATCATGGTCCAGTATCTTACATTGTAGTTGTAATGTAAACTGAGAACATAATTATCCATTTCCACGTTAATCATTATTCGGAGCTTCGCAAATTCGCTTTTGTCAATGCTCCCCGTTATGCAATACGTTTCCTGTCAATACAATAAGGAACATAGTGGAGGAGTTTTTGTTTAAACCAACGACACATCGCGATTGTCCATGGTCCCATGGCAACGAAACGTTGAAACGTTTTATCAAGGGTCCGTCAATATTAAACATCGATACCGCGTGACAGCATCGAAAAATTATTGTTCACCATCCACTGACACCATTCCGAATGTAAAGAGGCAAGTGGGAATCAATTGAGGACACATTCAGACGATAAGGGGTCACGGAGTAGCCCAGTCTTCTAAGGCGCCACAAACCGCCGTGCAGCTGACCCATGGGCACATCTGATGATTGTGGGTTCGAATCCCGATTCGCTCCATCACCATACTCGTGGTAAACATCTGATACCTGCATCATTTCGGGTAATACTGTTCCAAACTTACTTCCTCACTCAGATGCTAAGCTACTCTCTAAACAACTGAAGCCAGGGCCCACTTGCACAAAGCGATCTTAGCGGCACGACTCTCGTACGCATATGTTAAAGTATGGGAGTTACTTTCGCGTTAATGAGTGAGTGAGTGAGTGAGTGAGTGAGTGAGAATGCCTTTACGCCGCTTTTAGCAATATGCCAGCAATATCAAAGTAGGGGACACCGGAAAAGGGCTTCCACATTGTACCTATGAGTGGAATCGAACTCGGATCTTCGGTATGACGAGCGAACGCTTTAACCTCAAGGCTACCCCACCGCCCCCTCGGTGTTAATAACTCACGATGAGACGGTAAAGCTATGTTTCATTCTTTCGTAATACTACTGGAATATGTTGTTTTACCCCGCAGTAACATTCTAGTCCTGAAACTGTAGCCTGTGAACAATCCAGCTGGGGTTGATACAATGAGCACCATCCCACACTGTCGGGATACGATGACATGCAATGATCCAAATTCTCCAACCAGTGACCCTGCCCAGCAGACAGGCAATAGAATACTGGGGACAAATTCTAATACGAGTTATTGGTATAGTAAATATGCCAACAATAGCTACAGATAGTCGTTTCTCTCCCCATTTTCTGGCTCGAACAGCGTGTTGTGTTTATGCGAGATGTTTTGAGCTTCATCTTCGCAATATCCAAGAAAAGCAGGGCAGGGTGAACCACGAACGCGCTTGACATATTTTACTCAAAGGGAAATCGACTCATGGTCCTTGGCAAGACAAGCGAAAAATTTACCCACTCACCAATCTCCTGTCTGTTCTTGACTCCATACAACAACGCCAAAGTCTTTTGCCATATTTTGCAAACAGTCCCGCGTAAATGTCTGCGTAACAAGGCGGCTTTGAAAGCACTGCGCAGAACTACACCACACTAACACTTAGTCCGAGAAATATAGTTATCGTATTTAAAAATATATTTCTACAAAATACAAAATAAAATTATACAAATGGAGCCCAGGACAATGCTTTATTTCAGGCCTAGAGTTGAGGCGATCTAGACTTGCCAAATCATTCCGGACTTGAGTTGGATTTATTCATTTATTTTCTTGGGTATGGGAGACCGACATGTGGTTGGCGATCACGTTATTAGGCAGTCATTTCGGATGTACACATGGCAATGTACGTATCCAGTGAACATTGGCTGACTGCGTGTCAACGATCTTCGATTTTGTGGGACGTTGCTCATTCTTTCAGTCATTGGTTTGCCTGGTCCAGACTCGACTATGTACTTACCGGCCGTGATATAGTGGTACTGTTGTTGAGTGCGTATACATCATTCAATGGTTCACTTTGAAACTGACGTACAGACTCGATCATGAAATAAACGTTGGCCGCACTCGGGTGCCCCGTTTTACAAACCGAGTTTTGCACTGTGATTGGCCTTAGGCTGTGTCAAAGTATTGGAGTTACGATCCTCATGGTCTATGCTCGCTTTGGGGATTTTGATATGTTGGTAAGGTGAAATGGGGTTTAACGTCGCGTCCAAGATTATCCACTTAAAATGCAACGCGCATGCACGTGTGTGTGTTGCTGCTTGTACTATTCCGGACTGATGTCGATTAAACAGTGCAAACCCACAAAGATACGATGCCGCAGTTTAACATGAATACCCCACCCAGACACAGTGTACTGATTCCGAGCCGACCAGTATTTTAGCCCCTTGATATCGATCGCCAGACAGGGTACAACAAGTGCCATCTTTTAACATCTTTTGGTATGACGCGGCCGGGGCTCGAACCCCGGACCTTCCGCTCACTGGTCAGACGCTCTACCAAAAGATCACAGAGGCGGTCATCAAAAGAGAATTAATTCATCGATACCACTGATATTTTACCTTTGAATATTCTAATCTAGTGTTCACTGCTGGGATAATTCCTGAGATATGGCTAACAGGCATAATAAAACCTATTTACAAAAATAAGGGTAATCCTTAAGATGCAAATAACTGTAGATCAATAACAATGTTAAGTTGCTTCGGGAAATTATTCACCAAAATTCTGAATACACGCCTAACAAAGTCTTGATAAAAATGGTATTTTATCAGCAGCTAAGGTTTTCGAAAAAAGTTTACGAGGGAAGATGACAGTTTTGTATTAAATATACCAATGCATATTTCACAATTGTCGGAAAAAATGTGATTTATTGATTTTACCAAGGTTTTCGACACTGTTCCGAGGGTGGGACTTTCGTCCAAAATGCAGAAAAAAGGTACTGTAAGTAAATTTTTAAAAAATGTGTCTAGTAATAAAATCACTGGTACAAAAAA